ATGGCTGCCATATTGGATCATAGTCAAATTTTTCAAATGGGGAATGTGGTCATTTAGTATTGAACACATCAAATAACAGGCAACATTCTCAGCTGTTACACAGTTTTGTATTAATAACTTTTGAATCACACGAGGTATCGCAAATCTGACTTTAGCTACTGATTTCTGAGGCATTTCTGGTTTTCTTTGCGATCTTAAATGATGGCCATGTTCCAGACATCACCTAAAAGGTAAGTTCCCTCACCTATTACTTGCTGGGATATTCAGAGATTTCCTTTTCTGTTTCATTTCTGAAATAAAAGGGTGTCCTGCATCTTTTCATTCACCCTGTAGACTGGTAAAGCTGCATTTTCTTGCAATATGCTTGCAAACATTTGAATAATTTGGTTTGTGCAATTGCGTCTCTAGAAAATGTTTACATTTTTAAAAGCTAATTTCAAAGGGCTGTGATTGTCAGCGACAGCATTTAAACGGCATTCCAGAGAAAGTTTCCAAATTGTAAAACATTTGAGTTTTTCTTAATTTCTCCAACGTTTTTTTTAATTGACGCAACAAATGTTTTCTCACAACTGTCACAGAGTTGGTGTGAACATTTAGTTATGGTAATTCTACAGGAATAGAGCATCTAAACAACTCTAATTCAAACTTTATCGAGGGCAAAATTTATCATGCAAATATGTCAGGATTTTAGTTTCTACAATGATGTAAAACATTTATGAGGGTTCTCAGCTTTGTTGCAGGATGTTTTGACATGCTTTAAAGTGTATCTTACCCCCCTGTGAAAAGATAACTCCGCCCCAAGGCGAAATTTGAAAAATGCATCAAAGTGGGTATGGGAAGGTGGGGTTAGAGAGCGGAGGTGTGGCCAGGACGAGAGAACGTGACAGGCAGCTAGCATTAGCATAATTGATGCTACATGGAGAGTGACCACAGTATCACAGATAGTTACATCTCTGAACGTCTGAGGTGGAGGATTTTCACCCCACACCAGCCTTGGACAGAGGAGTGGAGCGCTCCGACAGCCTGACAGAAAAAATAAAAGCATACAGCTGCAGCTGCTCACAAGATCACTAGTTTGAATCAGGAATAAAAGTGTTGGGTCTTGTTTGACTGAAGCTCGGTCCGGTTCGCATACATTTCAACCTCTTTGGACGTTTACCTGTATAAAGAGCCCTAAAAAATCCATAAATTTTGCAAAAAATCCGTACAACTCGCACCCGCGGTGGGGGGTGGGGTGGGGGGGTCAGCTGCAGACATGAAAGCACCTGCTGAAGGAAAGGAGAGAGGAAAAAGTAGCTTATTTCTAGCGGCAGAACAGGTTGGAAGATGGCTGTTTGATGTTATTTATTGTTTTCAAATCATCCTATAGGCTCTGACATGTTAGATAAATTTGAAAATGAGGTTTTTAAAATATCCGTAAGACTTGAAAAAATCCGTGAGATTGCTCTATACATCCGTATACCTGCAAAATGATGTGAAATCTTTATAACTTACAGACAATCTGTACAAGTTGCTGCCTTTCTTTCCCCTCCTCTCCTCCCGCTGTGCAGGACGTACTGCTGGT